TTGTAGATAGTTGAGTATTGAACTCAGTGTCCATGAAAACCCTAGTACACAAGTTTTCACACTTTTGAAAAATTTTGAAACGGCAGCTTTTCGCATGGTGACCCCATTGAACTTTCTAGCGTAGTCCTACAGTAATGAAGAGCGATCGATGGCTTGCTTTATACCATAAATCTAAGTTGAACAGCTCTACGAAACGGTGCCTAAAGCTCGTCAAAAGCTTTACATATAAGGGAGTCATTAGAGATCAAACGTTTGATATATTTTTTGAGACACGCTGTATATGTTATGCTTGCTTTGTACAGGTATCACGAACAGCCACAGACGCAGAAATTAAAAAAGAGTACAGAAGAATGGCTTTACAACTTCACCCAGATAAATGTAGAGCTCCACATGCAACAGAGGCTTTCAAAGGCAAGCAATTTTGTCCTGTCAGCACGTACGTCGGTACCTTGAATGATATGTGAATATTCGAATTTAAGCTTTGGGTAATGCTTATGCCGTTTTATCCAACGAAGAAAAGCGAAAACAATATGACTTGTACGGTGCCGATGGAGGTAATGGAAGTAACGTTAGTAGTAGCAGCAGAGGACATAGAGGAGACTTCTTTGAGTACGATTATGCACATGGATTTGACGGTATGTGATCTGAGTGATTTTACCAAGTTTGATATTTTGAGCTTGGTCAGTTTTAGCCGAGTTTACCCCTGAGGAGATCTTCAATATGTTCTTTGGCGGTGGCTTTCCGTCAGAATCAGTGCGAAGAAGAGGTCATACTTACCATCATACTGCCCATCATAGCACTCGAAACCAGAACGAGGTACTGTTTACATTTGAAGCTACGAACGGGCAGTCCAAGCGATGGCGTTATTCAGAGTCCATATACTCCGCTTTTACAACTGTTGCCACTTATTGCCATACTTGTCCTCGGTCTCATAGCACAGCTTATGGTCGGCGATCCCGCATATTCCTTGCATCATTCAAGGTGGGTTTTGAAAGATGTTTGCCTTTCTTGTTACATGATGCTAGGACTGCACCATTATTGTTGCTTTTTGTCTTGTCCTTTTCATCATTTACGAAATTGTGTCTAAAATACGCGCACACAGACGCTTCTAACGTAAGAGGCGTTGATTGATCGCACTGTTGTACTCAAATCTTTTTGGTTCAAAATCGTTCAAAATTGTATCCACTGTTTGTGTCGGATACAAGTATGCTAAGTCCGCGTGCAATCACTAGCCTAAACTTTAGCTATCATAATTTTGTGTTTCATGAATGTGACGTTCGCTCAGTATCTGACACCAGCCTCTCTCTGCCGCTACGCGGCAG